GCATGAAATAACCAAGGTTTACCTAGGATAAGATCATATCTTTGCAACTTCAATACCTGTACATCCATCTTATGCATTCTATAAGTATCTAACTTCAATTCATCAATCTTTGCCATGGTAGTTGCTGTTATCTTCTTGCCATCTGCAAGTTCAACGGTAACTGGTGTAGTCTTTTGCAATTTGACTTTGTTTTTCTGTACAAAATTTTCATCAACAAAGTTTCTTGAAGCACCACTGTCTAGCAATACCCATGCTGGCTTGCCATTTACTTGGCCATTAAATTTTAATAATCTTTCTCTATTATCTTTTAAATAAGCAAATTCAACTCTCTCATAAGATTGTGAAGATTCTTCTTGTTTATCTTCAATATTTGCAATTTTGGCCTTTGTTTTAGAATAACAATTTTTGGTGAAGTGACCTGGTTTGCCACAATTATAACAGGTGTCTTTTGATTTATTATTCTTCTGATTATTATTATTTCTTTTGTTGTTATAGTGACTTTCTGCCTGGTCAAGTTCCATTGGTATTGGGCCATTATTTTGGTGACTTCTGTGTGAGTTCTATGAGCAATGACTATTGTTATTTCTGTTTGATAGACCTAGAGATCTGCCTTGCCCATACATAGCTGTATCATAGCGAATAGCTAGCTTCCAAGCATCTTCTAAGGTTTCTGGTACCTAATAACTTATCTTCATCTTTGTGGCCAGTTTAAGACCTTCTATAAAGTATGTGACCTGATCTAAAGCACTTATGTCTGTGATTTGTCTAACTATATTTCTGAATTTTGTGCTATAGTCTTAAACAGATCCAGTTTGACAAAGTAAGCGAAGTTGTCTATGGAAATGTTATTGATAGTGTGGTAGTTGGAAGACTTCTTTAAGTACTGTAACAAAAGCTTGCCAGTTTTCAAAAGATTCAACACTATCATCTACCTTTACTTTATTGAGATACTAATGTAAGGTTGCATCAGTCAGAGAAGTGGCAGCATATTGTATCTGAGTTTTTTCATCTGTAATTTCTTGGGCCTGGAATATTGTTTTGACTTGTATTATTCAGACAAGTACATTTTCATTTGGCTTTCCAGAGTAGGTAGGTAGTTTAACTGAAAGGCGAGGTGAAGGTTTAGAACCAGAGGGACCATCTTCTTTAACTGTCTTGATCAATTCAGTCATACTTTGCATGAATTAGGCAAATTATTCTGTATTTATTTTAGCAGAGTATTATTTTATTAAAAACTAAAGTATGTGTGTGTATGTAAAGTATATAATATGTGGTGTAGTGTGTAAGATATTAGAGAGTGGTGTTTGTATAACCATGTCCATTGCTATTAAGTTGTAAGATTATTTTGTTAATAGTTATAAACAAGATAAAATGCGATATGAATAAGTTTTAATTTTATAACTTATGATTGTTTTTATTATTTAAAAGTATTCAGATCTGAGGCTAAAAGTACAGAACAGAGAGGTCTTATTTATAAGAAAGAAATGAATACAAAATGTGAATAAATTAATATGAATTTCTAATTTAAATTACATATGGGTTAAACAGAATTAATTAACTTAATTTATGTCTTCAGAGGGCAACTACCATAAAGTCCCATGAATAAGCAACTCCCTACGTTATCATTTTAGAGGCTGATTTTTAGGAGGAGTTGCTTATTCATAGGACTTTCTGAATACTTAATGCCTATTAGCCCAACAGTTAAATTAATTCCAAGTTACTACAAATATAGCGAATTAGTTATACATAATATTTCAACATTCCAAATTTGATCAAATTTTTTCATGTCCCGTTTCTCTCTCTCTTGTCAAGAAAAAATGAGCAATACTTCCGCCAATATTATTCAGCCCAAATTCAAAGGTCGTGTACAAAGGACTTCATATAAAGCATCCAAAAAACTTGCCATTATTAATGAAGCTAAAAAGTTTGGCATTTTGACTGCAGCGCATTGGTTAGGTATTGACCAGTCAATAGTATCATGGTGGGTGCGTGATGAGGAAAAGTTTAGTAATGCCATATCAACAAGCTGACATGTTAGTACTGGAAAAATTTCAGCCTATCCAGCTACTGAGGAAGAACTTCTTAAATGGATCAATGAGCTTCGTCTTGTTAGAATTGCCGTGATGGCAGGTGCTATCAAATTATAAATGGTTACCATTCTTACAACAACCTGTGCAAATGATTACCCAGATGCCTCTAATAAATTTTATGCTTCACAATCTTGGTTTTATCAGTTTTTGAAAAGGTATAATCTTTCTCTTTAGTGGTATACTAAGATCAGTCAAAAGCTACCTAATGATTTGAGTGAAAAAATTATCAAATTTCAAAGATTTATAATCTGATCTCGGTCAGTGCACTAATATAATCTTTCTCAAATTGTTAATATGGATGAAACACCAGTTTATTTTGATATAGCGGATTCTACTATAATTAATGTAAGGGGAGCTAAAACTATCCAAATTCAAATAACTGGCAATGACAAAAATTGATTTACATATGTCTTGGCTATAACAGCAGATGGCAACAAACTTCTTCTCATGGTAATTTTCAAAGATATACGAACCCCTGCCAATCTTCCCAAAGAAATTGTTATACGTATGTATGAAAAAGCTTGGATGGATAAGCATTTGATGTGTGAGTAGATCGACCAAATTTGGAATAGATATCCTGAAATATTAATAGCATACAAATCTATCTCTTTACTTATTATGGATTCATTCGAAGGACACAAAACTGAATTAGTATACCAAAAATACAATGCCAACAATACTTATTTGGCAATCATTCCTAGAGATTTAACATCAGTTATTCAACCTTTGGATGTATGCATTAACAAACCATTTAAAGACAGATTAAGAGAAAAATGGCGGCTATGGATGAGTCATGATGATTTTGAATTGACTAAAGGTGAAAATCTAAAAAAATCACAATATAATTTGATTTGTCAATGGATTTTAGAGGTATGAAAAGATATTCCTTCAGAAATGA